ATATTATAAGTTAGGAGGTATTATTAACATTGTGATAATCTAAACGATAAAAGTTTAGTGATCGCCATTTTTGATGTGACACTTTTATCCAATAAAAATATAACAAATTTTAGTGTTTTTTAAATTTGCCGAATGACGAACGACCATATGTAAATTTTTTTATTTGAGAATTTATGTTCAGATAGTTTTTATATTTAAAGAATTCGCAAAAAAAACAATTTTTTTTATGATAAAAAATGTAAAATATCAAAATACGACCTGTTAGTTTTGTTTGAATTTCAACTTCAAATTTTGTTTTCGGGAGTTTTTTTTATATATTCAGGAATATTACGATAGTATCAGTATCTAATGTTCAGAGAAATAAGGTAGGTGATAAATTATCCTTTTTATCAAAAGTCATACTCGTTAATTACTGATATAGCAATTATCGAAACTCTAGAAAATGCTTTTATTTATTTGGAAAATGAAACGCGTTTTGAAAGAAAATAGTATTTTAAAGGGTACTTACTTTTTCACGTTTTTTTTAAGTTTTCAGATTTTAAAACTATAAGGTATTAAAAAATAATTTTTTAAAGATAATTATATCTAAAAAATATGTTAGCATTTCTTTTATTTTATTTTTAAAAATATGGTTCGTGGAAATTTTAAGACCCGTTGTGCTAGGGTTACAAAAAAAATGAAACGTCAATGGTCAGCACGAGAAAAACTAATGGTAATTACATATCATGAAAAAGGCCATAGCAAATGTTCAACTGCAGAGAAGTTTAGCATTCAGCCTAAACAACTTCGAGAGTGGCTAAACAATAAAGAACAACTGTTAAAAGCAGCTCCTCATATTTAAAAACTTAACACAGGTGCCTGTCCAAAATACCTATTACTTGGAGATGAACTTTTTGAATGTTTTAAAGAATCCCAAAGCCATTTAAAAGTTGTTTCTCGTTACATAGTTTAAACAAAAGCACGCTCTTTAGCTAAAAAAACAGAGTATTAATTAGAATATCCTGATATAAAATTGCAAGTTTTTCACAAAAATGGGTTGATGGTTTTATGAGCCATCATTACTTGGTTGATAGAAGAAAAACAACTGTTGCTCAACAGCTTCCAGAAAATTATATAGAACAACAGAGTGAATTTTTATCTTATGTCTTATTTTGTCGAAAAGAATATGATTATCCATTATCTTTAATTGGAAATATGGATGAAACACCAATATCATTTAATTTACCAAATAATATAACAGTTGAACAATGCGGTACTAAAACTGTTTCGATTTTATCAACTGGATATGAGCATTCAAATTTTACTGTTATTTTAAGTTGTATGGCCGATGGAAGCAAATTACCACCTGTAATTATTATTAAACTTGTAAATGTTCCTTGAGAAGAGTTTCCTGATAGTGTAATTGTTCGTGCTAATTCTCAAGGTTGGATGAATGAAAATAAAATGTCTTAGTGGGTGGAAAATATTTGGACACGACATGCTAGATGAAGCAGTAATCCAAAATCTCTTTTAATATTAGATTCTTTTACTGCACATAGAACTGATGTTATAAAACATTGATTTTATGAAAAAAATACTGATTTAGCTATTATTCTGGGTGGGTTAACTTCTTGTTTACAACCACTTGATGTATCATTAAATAAATCCTTTAAGGCTAAGGTATTTTATTTTATTTATTATTTAAATAATTAATATTAATGTTTTAAAAAAATAGATGCGGCAACGTTATAATGATTGGATGAATAATGCTATTAAAGAATATACACCATCTGAAAAAATTAAAAGACCATCTTATTCACTTGTTGCTAATTGGGTAAAGGAAAGCTGGGATGCTATTGATCCTAATATGATCAATCATTCATTTAAATGTTGTGGTGCTTCCAATGCAATTGATGGAACAGAAGATGATTTAATTTTTGATTTTAATAAAGTAGAAGATATAAATAATCAAGGGAGAGGAATTGAAGAAGCGGATGAGCAGAATGATAATGAAAATGAATCAGGTGATAATGGTAATGAGAATGAATTGAAAAATAATGATGAATATGAAAATGATTATTATAAAAGTAATGAAGATTGTAATGTAATTCATAATTGGAATATTTAGAAAAATTATTAATTTCATAGCATTTATTCAATAATAATAAATAAAGTTTTTTTTTCATTTTATAAATTTGTTATTATTTCGGTATAAAATACCCGGGTCTCTTATAAAACACCGTGATTAAAATTGAATCATACCCGGATCTTAAAATAGGTAATAAATTTTATATGTAATAAAATACCCGGGTCTTTTAAAGTGGGGGTATTCAAAAAGAGGGATATCTTAAGCAGTGCTAAACGGTACTGATCATCAACCCGAAGTGGTGATCTTCAGCTCGGAAGATTTTTTGCTGGGCCACAATGCATGTACTCATGTGCGACAAAAATAGGCTGATCACATAATAGGTCTGTGCGACATTTTCGCATTAATTTCGCATATATATTCGCTAACCGGTACCTCTATTTTTTTTTCCCCGAACAAATGTGAGAAAAATGTGAAAGGAGGTCTACATGCAACACAGGATCTTCCCTATAAGTAAATAGTATCGACAAAAGCATATGTTATGAAAGGCTGAGTGTCTCGCAATTTTGAGATCGCCATATCGGATTGTCATTCTTTAAAATGAATGCTTTCATAGTTTAGGAAATTTCCTATTGATTATCTTGAATAATCAAAATTTTTAATTTCGTATGATTCTGAATTACGTCTATCAATGGATAAAAAAAAAATACTTTCAGAAACTTAATTCCCCTGAAATGATCCAATAGCAAATGCTCATCTTTCTTCTTTAGCTTGTATTCACAATCCATTTTTTCCTCATTCAATCTAACATGATTATTTCAAATTTCTTATAAAAATAAGAAAGAAAAGTGCTTATTAAAAATTATTTTAAAATTTAAAAAACAACATTAAACTTACTATGCAACGTCCTATTTCTTTCACTTTTATTATCATTGTAACCATCTGTAGCTTAATGAATATCATAGCTTTGATGCCAGCCACTGAAGGTAAAAAGCTCTGAAATATTTTTTAGTTTCCAAATACAGTGATTTAATTTATTTAATAATATATATAGCATATGAGGTTCTACTTAGGAATTGGGGTGGTTACAGTGGAGGTAATTATATCGGATTTTATTGAGCTAAATTCCTTGAGTGATTTGATATTATGTATATTCCTTTTGATTTTAATTTAATTTTATTTATGTACAGCTAGTTGTTGTGTTTGGCAGGAAGATTCTCAACACAACTTCATAACTTTTATACCTCCAAATGTACCCCTTAAAAATAATGCTTATTATTGTTTCAGTTGTGCGACCTTCGATGGTATGGAAAAATGGGGTGCGGATTTAAGAAATGGTATTCTTACTTATCATACGATAGATAATACTACAACATACTGGGTTGATCTTGGAGTTACTAATCCTGGTGATTATACTGATACAAATGAAGGTGGTTATAACAAAGATACGTGTTTCCACGTATATGGTGGTCCTGTTAATGAAGCAGAACTTACAGAAGCACCTTACGAAGAATGTCAAAAAATCAGAGATTCAAAATAAGACCGCATATCTTTACAAAACAATGCATCAATCATTGGTCTTGTATAATGTACTTTGCAGATACTAATTATATCATGAAAAAAATACTCTTCAATATCAATATTTATTAAAAAATAATATGTATCCTGGGCTACGTCCCAAACATTGTATTTATTTAGTTAATAATCCTCTATTCTATCTATTCTATCTAAATTAATCTAGCGTGCAATGTGCATCCAAATAATTACACATAATTGATTCAACTTCCACTTCCCGATATTTAATAAAGAAATGTTTTACCTTTATTAGATTCTTGTCTTGAAATTTCTTGGCAAAGTTCAGCCGGGGTGACTTCCCCTGCGTACCCATCAAAAAATGTCACGAAATGTGGCTTGTGACGCATGACCGATCCCAAATTTCCCAAATTTGTGGGACACGTTTAATGTAATGTTTCCTATACTATTAACAGATAATGAGATAATAAAATAGAACATATTTTTCGAAGCTATTGTTAAAAAAAAGCTTGGCTTTTTAAAAATTATGTTAAGAAAACTGCTTTTTAAATAAACTAAGTGAAATGTCGAACATACTTTTACTTTAAACTAAACGTGTTTTTTTCTATACATATCGAAACTTAAAATTAAAGTTTGTTATTTTACAGTAACACAAAAATAAACGGTATGACAATTTATTCTAGTTACAGTACGCTTGTTTTAGAGTAATATATTGTATTTATTTATTGATTTGTATCCAATATATAGATATGCAGACATCATTTACAGGTGAATTACCTGTTAATGTCAATAATAAAAGACGATGTTCTGGCTGTAAAAAAAATCAGGATGAACAAATGTTTATTGATGAAAAGACTGTTCGCGCGACATGTTCTAACTGTCGATCAAATAATAAAATGTGCAAAAAACGGTCTCGTGATCCATTACAATCAGAAAATGAAGAAAATGAAATATTTGAAAAACAGTTAATAGAATTTGAAGAACTAACAGATGAATTATTATTTGCAATGGATCAATATACAAGTTCACATGACAAAGAAAACTTAGCGATAGAACATGCCACAAAATTCAATTTTGAAAGATCCAAAAACTATTGCAGATATTATCATCGAAGCAGTTCAAAACGCAGATGAATATAAATGGAAGTATGTATATGAATTATTTTTTTAACAAGTTTTATAAAATTATAATTAATAAACTAATAATTAATATTATTAGTTATAATAGGTACTATCAACATAAAAAAGCTATTACCGGTTTTTGGTACATATGTGCTCAGCGTTATAGTACCTTAAAACCATCTCGAAAAAATCCTAATCTTAATAAGCAACGTGATACAGCCCCTAGAGAACGATTTGATTGTAATGGAACAATCAAACTACTCATAAATACCAGTATACATCGTGCTTATATTCACATTCAACATCATGATCTTCATATAACACCAACTGATTTTTCCGTTCCTGATTGGATTAAAAGCTATATTTCGCAAAATTTAGATTTGTTTCCATTACTGGTGGTCACAATATATGACTAAACAGTATAAACGAAAGGATGATGCTTATGATTCGGCACATGACTGGCTTTACGAAAAAGGCTATGAAATTATTGTTATAAATAAAGAACCAGCACGAGCTCTTGGATTTACAACAGGTTTTCATAAAGAATTACAAGAAAAAAATATTCAAATTAATGAATGTGGTATCGATGCAACATGTATGTTTATTATTTTAGTATTTGTTTTATTATTAAAATATTTTTATTTCTATGCTAATAAACTTATGCATTTATAGATAATACAAATAACCTTACTTTTGAATTATATGTACTACATGCGGAAGTTGATGGCACTGGATATCCACTTGGCTACTTGTTTTTGGATAATAATGGAAATGGAGTTTCGGGTGCACGAACAAATGTAATTGCAAAATTTTTGGAAGAGTTTCGAGCACGTGGGATTTCTCCTCAGTTTTTTTTAACTGACAAGGATTTCGCACAAATTTCAGCAGGACAAACAGTTTGGCCTAATGCCAAAATTCAATTATGTCATTGGCATCTTCGACGAGCTGTAGAAACAAAATTAAAGGAAACACACCTTCCAAAACGAGATAATTATGAACCAATGGCAGCACATCATGAATTTCCATTCATTGATATTAAATTTAATCCTTCTAATGCTGCATATAAATCAACAAATTTTTGTCCCAAAGAATTTCGGCCTTATATTTGGAATTTAATGAATAAACATCTTCATCAACATCCTTTAATTCCAGATATATCTCAACAAATTTTAACAGCTGAAACAATTAGAAAGCAAGCTGTTCTGGAAATGTATACTTTTTGTAAGGAAAATTCACTTGTACGAGTGTGGTCATATATGTGGCGTGAATGGTATTCCAAGGATAGATGGATACTTTGGGCACGCTTAGCATTTAATACTTTATCCATATTTAAGACAACAATGTTTGTCGAGGGGCATTGGAAAGTTCTCAAAAGGGACTTTTTATATAAGTTTTTTCGTCCACGATTGGATCTTTTGGTATATATATTACTCGAAAAATTGATTCCTCATCAACAACGAAAATTTCAGCAACAACTTTCTGGACGTGAAATGTTAGATTGGAAAAAATCAATAAAGTCCGAATGGAAAAAATTAGCTCAAAAACAACCGGAAATAAATAGTTTTAACAAATATTGCACTAATATTAAAGATTGGGTTTGTGGATGCCCATATTATCTTACAAATAGATTTATGCTATGTAAACATCTTGTAAATTTAAAAGGACCAGTTGATTTTTCTTTATTTAGGCGCAATAATCAATACCCTTTTCTAATTTTAGACAAAACTCCTATATATGAATTAAACAAAGAAAATAATATTCATAATAATCACGAAACAAATAATACTAATGAGGATGAAATAAACAATACTAATATATTTGAAAATCTTATAGATATAACACAACAAACACTTAATTTGCTTGAAGAACAAAAGCAATCAAGAAATGTTCTTTGGGCTCAAGGAGTTGAACGAAATTTTAATCAAATTAAAACTATGGTTAATGAAATAAATCAGTATAAGCGCCGGAAAACAATGCCACGTACTTGGAAGGATCATACTCACAACACTCGTTATTTGAGATAATGATCTACTTTCTTTTAACGATAAAGTTATTTCTTATAGTCAAGATGGGATTTATTGTTAGATTATTTGGTGGATTATTATATTGAAAAAAGAAATAAAAGTTTGAATCTTTATAATAAGATTCATAAATTTTAAATTTATAAGTTGAGTGATGCTTTATTTTATTAATTTATAAATATAATACAAATATTTAAATTTATATAACAACTTGTTTAAAACGATTAAAAAACTATATCTACTGTATAAGAAAAAATGTGTCTTTCTTTAAGTTTATAGTAAATAAAGCAAGATATTAAAGTTTTTTCTTTTTTGTTTTTTTTTTGTTGGTATGATATAATTATTGTATTTATTGTATGGCCATTTCGTGACATTTTTTGATGGGTACGCAGGGTCATAGGAGGACTTTCACGTGATTGGTCAATTGCCAGATACATTATTTATACAGTTTAAAGTACTTTTCGAAAATGTAACGTTCACTTATAAAAAGTAAAAGATTTTTTTTTTTTAGCTTTGAAAGAACGTTAACATTCACTGTGCAAAATAATCCAAAAATAATCCCAAACCTCAAAGTA